TGTTGCTGAGGATGTCACAGTCAATGTCTGTGCTGATGACGGCGATAGTGGTGATGGTGATGCACCCCGTCGTCCAGGCACGCGCACAAGCCGAGCTCGACACCGTCGTCGGGAAGACGCGGCTGCCGACGTTTGACGACATGGAGCGCCTGCCGTACCTGCAGTGCGTCATGTCCGAGATCTTCCGGTTCGCTCTCCACGTTTTACTCGAGTGCTTGTGTTGACGCAGCGTGCGGACAGATGGGGTGTTGCAACGCCCGTAGGCACGTATCCGTCCCGCTGGCCGCGCTATCTACTTGCTTACTCTCGCCCCGCAGGCGTGCCACACCGCTCAATAGAGGACGACGAATACAACGGGTGGCATATTCCCAAGGGCACGATGGTCATCGCGAATGCTTGGTGCGTGCTGGCGTGTGGCACGGCGCACCCTGCTGACATCCTGCAGGGCGATGCTGCGCGACGAACGAGTGTACCCAGACCCGGACCGGTTCAACCCCGACCGTTTCCTCAGCGGCGAGGGCCACGAGCCCCAGGCGGACCCGCGTGGGCCGCTGTTCGGCTTCGGACGTCGGTGAGCAGCGTACGCCACCTGCCTTTCCTTTGCATCACGCCAACTGCTCGCAGGGTGTGCCCCGGGAAGGACCTCGCAGAGAACAGCCTGTTCGCAGCACTTGCGCTCGTGCTGCACGCGTTCAAGCTCACGCCCGCCGTCGGGGCAGACGGGTGCGCGGTGCGCGTCGACGGCGCGTTCCGGGAGCACAGTATTCGGTGGGTGTGCGTCGGCCTCGTCCACGTCTTGGCTGATGGAGTACGCAGACACCCGGAGCCATTCACCTGCACGATCCTCCCGCGCCTGAAGACGTCGGCGGCGCTCATCCGGCAGGTGATGGAGTCGCATTGAGGCAGGATGGTGGTCAGCACCGCGTAGGCTACTTCGTAGAGCCTCACAACGGCGCGCGGAGCCATTGGGAAGACGCGGGTCTTGGCTATGAACGGCCCGTGTCGAGACTGAGGGATGAGAGCTGTGTATGAATAAGGGTCCTCTGGGCCACGAGCATGGGCCGTGTACTATTTTTCCACTTGTAGCATATACTGCCAACGAAGCGACATGACGAATTTGGCATGTGTTCCTGTAGTTGGGTAGCTTAGGGGCGTAGGGTGTAGAGGCCGAGTGGTCTCTTCGACCACAAGCTCCACCAGTGAGGAACAAAAGATGGAGATTACCACGAACGTCGGGTGTCCAACTCTAAGCATGCGGTATCTGATCCTCGTGCAGAATTTGCGCAGCGGCAGCAAGACGTGCTCGATGTGTGATCCTCGCTGAGCTACTATGCCGGTCCCAAGCTGGCTCCGCCCGCCGCATACGCGTGTCGTCCGACTGTAATGTCCAGTCCGCCGAGCGATGACCACTCCATCCGTCCTTTGAGTCTCAAGGCTCCGTTAAAAACGGCGGGTATGCTAGGAACATTGGCAAGTAGGTGTACAGACGCATGCAGACATAACAAAGAAATGACCATTTCTTCAGTGAGAAAAGAACCGATGTCAATGGAGAAAACGCTCACCCCCATTCAGCTGGCACATTTCCGATGCTGTTCCAATGCTTGTGGCCAGAAAACAACGACTCTTTTGAGGCTTGCGGTCGGAACTAGGATGACCGCGAGAAGAAAAATAAAAGCAAATCTGATTGTCGAGTATTGGAGCCAGATAGTCATGCCTCGGTGCGCGTTTTGAGTACGCCGCTATACGTGGACAGCACCAAGCAAGGGTGGTATGGGCGGTAGCTTCGGAATCCAAAAGCACGGCACTGCGAGATGCGCCGTGTGAACGCTATGCATAATCATATATGTAATTGTCACTCACTTTATGGCTCGCGTAGGTAGGGACGGCATGTCATTCCTACAAGACTCCGGTACATGTTCGATTAGTATTGCAACTGGTGTCTGCTATACGCGTAGACAGACAAGCCATATGTAACATGCTGTGGGACACGAGGGTGAGTGCGTCGCCGACATGCTAAGGCCTGTAACAGGAATACAGCGCAGACGGAGTTGAGTAGAAATCCCGTCAACAGAGGGAAAAGCTGCAGGTCCTGAACGCAGGATGTTGAACAAATAATCCTGGGCACGTATCGTATAAACTCTGTCGCATTGTCTGGTCCCGCTGTGAACCTATTTCCGTGACTGATAGAGGGACCGGATGGAAAGCATCAGTGCACTTGCGTACACTCACTGGGAACTGCAGCCTGTATGTATACTGAACTGTGTATCGTCTGTCACGTACGGAGGCCGACATTTGTCAATTCTTGCGAGCTTGTATAAGCGCTGGAGTCAGCGAGCACTGAAGTACTGACGTTGCACTTTCGGGAAGCTTAGGAATAGGAACGTGGATTTATCTACACATCAATGTTCAGCGTTACTCCCGAATCCGAGCTTTCGTGTACGTACTTTCACATAGAAACTACGTATTCCGGGAAAATGTCTTAGCAACGGAAGCTCAGCCTTTTCGGCGCATAACAGGGACCCCGCACTTGCACTCTCCAGAACATGTTTTAGGGCGGTGCATGTCAGCGGGGGCGACGCCGGACGACACAAGCCTGACTTTGACGTGAGTGCATGGTACAGAGAGCGGAAACGGTCGAGAGCGAGAATTTAGAGGCAAAAACTCGAGCCTCGTCGTCGTCGTCGTCGGGACAAGGTTATGGTGAGATGAGGTCAAGGTGGACCGCGACGTAGCGACTGAAAGTGCTCGATTGGCATGGTGGAGACATTCAGTGTAGAAATGTCCGCTCGGTTAAACGATATATGATCTGGCGCTGACTAATACCCTAAACCGGTAACCTAACCCCCAGCTATTCAGCCGTAATTCTACCAGGTTATGTGCAAAAGTGCAAGATGCCCTTTCGCCGTAGATATGGGCCGCACCTGTTTGAAAAAAAAAACTATATAATAAAAATGATTGTATGACCATATTCACTACAGTTTCCATCATGTTCTTGCTTCAAGCCACATCATCCTGATCCAAGTCCACACCCAATAGGAGATTCCATTCAGTAGACCATCCTAGACAATACGACAATGATTGTGCCAAGATGTCTGTTTGGGTCAACTCTCAAGTAGATATCAGTAACACTAACAGGAGACAATATGCACATAAAGGTGACAACACTTGCACAAGATCTCACGAGTAAGCCTCTTTGTCGCTTCCACACAAGTTCATCGACATTCTATATTTCAAGGTACAAGACCATCGACACGTATGCCAACACCTGAGAGACCACGGACTTTCTTCGTGAGCGCGTCTCCCATGTCCTCCAATTCTACTAAGGAGCCGATAGAGACGTTGTCGAGCGTAGCATCCGCTTCCCCATGTCGACGGGAGTGGTTGGTCTGCGCGAAGACAATGGGTTCGATAGGATGAACGGTGTAGATTCCATCTTTCCTCGTGAACCCGGTGTTGACCGCCAGGACGATGAGAGTCGGTAGTATACCCTGAGAAAGACATGACAAGCTTTTAGAAATTAACGTGACGCAAAAGATGAAGCTAACCATCAGCTGTGGCATGGACTCCAGGACTATCCACACGGCTTTATTTCCCCCGTACGTTTCATCGTCGCCGGTAAGCTCAAACAATGTGAGCTCGATGACCTTGGCGGCGGCTAAGATGAAACCAGACTCTAAAATGAGCATGATAACCCGGAAGTAGCGTGATTCAACCACTCCGAGTATTCTTTCCGTCTGATAAATCATGTACCTGGAGCACACTCTCAAGTTAAGCTCGTATGCCGGATTCTTTCGTGCTCACCAGATGCGTGCAGCCGTAGTAATCGTAACGACTACATTGGTGCAAAGTGAGATGGAATACATAGCGGTGGCCCAGAACACAGAATCTGTGTAGTTGACTGTGGGCAGCTCCCATTGTGCTATGCATGCGTATCCCGTGACTGCCGATAACGGTGCGAAAAATCAAGATGGAATACGACAGTCGGCTTGGCCGAGAACACCCACTTGCCGTGCCCAGGATTAACAGTATAGGGAGCATAGCCACCCATATATTCTTTGACCACACCACATAAAGACGCCACACAACGACCGAGTCTCCAAGGATTATCTGTTCGACATAAGACGGGATTGGGCAGTTTATCGGATTGGGGACATACAGCGGTAATGTAGATGGCCTCCTTGGCGAGGTTGATCTTGTAGCCCACGCCCGAGAAGTAGGCAACAGGACCGATAGTATCGCGATATACGATAAATCCTTGTATGAGTCGCGCAAGAACAAGGGACGCATGCACTGTTGCTAGACAGTATCTGGGACAAACATTAATTATAAGTTGAGTTAACGGTCGTGCTGAAATAAAATGTAGCGCACAGGATAATTATTGCAGCAGTGGACACTTTGTTAAACCTGGAGTAGCCATTCAAGACGATCTGGCGGATGGATAATCCGAATAGGACAGAATATACACCTTGAGTGAGAGGTCAATTTTTGCGACAGTAAAGTGTTCCGTACATACCCCATATAAAGGATTCCACCCAGCCAGCAATAAGGGACGATTCGTCAATAGGAAAGTAGATGGTCATGGTCACCGTGGTGGGCCCACTGGATTGAGCGCACGGGTACTACGCATGATGCGTTTATGAGTTACGGGGAAATGGCGACCGCGAGACGGATGGAACTTGGAAGAAGACCCTTGCAAGCGTCTTGACAAACTGCACCTGCACGCCGCACGGTACCATAAACGGGGGTCCAACTTAAAGGAAATCAGGAAGCGGAGCAGCGGAGTGCGAGGTGTCCGCTGATTACGTAATACGGGAGCATCTCAAATTCTTATCTGAACTTGCACTTTGAAGCCGGACTCTATCCTGATTGACGGTCGTATTTGACTACGTCCCACAAAATTTATAAACCATGCCAGTCACAATGCCAGTGGTAAATTCAACTGTCTAACCCATTCAAAATGCCCTCTATTGCGGCCGCGCGAGCCTCCAATGCAAAATACTCGCCGTCCTATGTTCCAGTCGCAATCTTCGTGGGGGGAACTTCCGGGATAGGGCGGGCCATTGCACAGGCATTTGCGCGCTATACTCAGGGAAACGCGCATATCATCCTCTGCGGGCGGAATGAAGCCGCCGCCTCTAGCATTATCGCATCCTTCCCGCGCCCGACAGCACCCGAGGCCAAGCATGAGTTCGTCCAGTGCGATGCCACGCTGATGAAGAATGTCGCCGCAACGACGTCTGCCTTGCTCAATCGCCTCCCAAAAGTCAACTTTGTCGTGCTCTCCTCGGGTGTCTTTTCACTCAAAGGTCGGAACGAAACATCGGAGGGTATCGACAGGAAGCTCGCACTGAGCTACTACGCCCGGTGGAAGTTTACGTCCGATCTCATGTCTCTTTTGCGCGAGGCCAAGGACGCTGGAGAGGACGCAAAGGTTATGTCTATCCTCGGACCCGGCAACGGGGGCAACATTGACCTCGATGACCTTGGGCTGAAGAAGAATTATGGCGTTCTCAGAACCGCTTTGACTACGCCCGCATACAATGACCTCATGTTTGAGGTACGTACTATGTCTATCAGTTTGCCTAGCGCACTGCCCATACTGATCACCCGCTTTCAGGCGTTTGCGGAACGGGATCCCAGTATATCGTTCGTCCATGTGTACCCCGGCGCCGTGCGCACGCCTATGCTTGGCACACTTATGAAGATAGCCTTTTATCCATTGACGATATCTCCTGAAGACTGTGCGGAGCACATGCTGTACGCGCTGTTCAATGTCGAGGGTGGCGCACACCGGCGAGACAACCGTGGCGACGACATGGGGAAGAAGAGATATTATGGCTCGGAGGAGGCGCGGAGGCGGCTGTGGGATCATACTGTTGAAGAGATCACCCGTTCCGCGACCACGTAAGGTTTACTCTCGCTCAGCAAGCTGTGACTCGGACCATATCGCGATATGTGGTTCAAGATGGCTGTCGACCCCCGTCTATGATGTTCGGTGTGATCGCATGCGTCCTGTAACTGCTGCTTTCCTATGAATCACTGAAACAATTTGTGATTTCGTACTCGAGATGCGCTACTTCTTGCGGTCATCTCAATCTACTCTGTAGTGTTCCCACTTTCTAACAGTTCTGGATCCTCTCCAACCATAGATGTATGGGATCTCTGATGACCATGGGAAGGTTATCCTGACAGTCTCGTGAATGACACGCTTTTTCAAAGGAATCAGTTGCTACCGTCGCAGGATACTGTCCATTGTCGTTGTCACACTAGCAGAATTTCACTCCTCGTGTTCGTGAGTCCGGTTCAACAGATCCATGCCGTAAGTGAAATTTTCTACAGTGAGATAGCCAGTGTGGTCTGAGCGCTGATCCCTCATGTCACTTCGAAGCCTCACTAGACTGTATGTCAGTATCGAGGCTCAGGGTTCGATTCAGCGCTCATCAAGCATCCACTCTGGTTCGACTGTCCTTGGGCCCTCAAGTTCGACATAACGACCTTCACCTCAGAATACTTATGGCATGGCCGAGTCCAGAACAAATGTGAGTGGACTGTTGATGATAAATGACGGAGTACGTTCGTGCATCATCCCTGGCAGGATGAATGTGTCAACAAGTGATCGAAGTTCTGCTACAAATGGGCAAATTTGTTTTATGCTAACCCGGATCAAGCCTCTACGTGTCATCGGTGTTCGGAAGCTAGGTAGATAAAGGACTGGCGCTACCAATACTAGTTTTCGTCTCGTTGAAGGTTCCTGCTCCGAGTCGATTTTTGCCAGACGGGCATCGTATTCCGCAATGACGAGGCATACCTCGTTGCTGGCTGGGTAGAGTCCTACTTGTAGGGTCTATATCATTCTGATTCTAGTGCTTGCTGGTTGCCCGTTCTAACAATTGTCGAATGGAGGACTCTATACGGTCATATTCGGCATAACCATGTATAAGATTCGCATGAAAGGCTGGCAGAAGATGAACAAGGTAACCACTGGGACTATCATCATTCTGTGAGCCGTGCGCTTCTTCAGCAGCTCTTCACTAAGTTTCTTCGCTCGAAGCTATGTTCTTGCAACTGCCCACAACGCGATGGCTCTAAGGTTGCTCATCAATGCATTCATAGTCTATGTACAAGACCCAGGTCCCCAAGTGTACTTTGCAAACATTGCCGTCCCGTTGAATGTTGCCAAAGATTTGGTGTATATCACAAATGTCGGACAAATCTGAGACAAAACATGCGTATTCACTGATACTGATAACGATAACTATAATGCAGATCTGGGTGGGAGACAGTGTCATAGTCTGGCGTCTATATGTGATCTGGGGAAAGAAGCTCTGGATAGTTGCCTTCCCAGTATGCAT